GAATCTGCATATGTACCTTCTCCACTCCTGAAATCTCTACACTTACATAAAACTAAATTCAAAATGCTCTGTCACCCCATTAGATAAAAATGGGCCATAGTTGCCCCAGTACTCCTGGGAGCAGGTCTTGCAGCAGCCATAGGAACTGGTGTAGGGGGAATTGGAACAACCACCCACTTTTACTACAAACTTTCCCAAGAGTTAAATGATGATATGGAGTAAGTAGCTGATTCACTTATTTCACTACAAAATCAGGTAAAAACTCTAGTAGTCATTGCCCTCCAAAACTGATGAGTGTTAGACTTACAAACTGCTGAATAAGGAAAAATCTGCTTCTTCCTGGAAGAAGAGTGCTATTACTATGTAAACCAACCAGGAATAGTCACAAGCAATGTGAAAGAACTTCGAGGACAAATCCAACAAAGACAATGGGAGATAGGAAACCAACAATTCTTTTTTTTCTCCGCTCTTGAAGGTTAGCTACCCTGGATTCTCCCCTTTCGTGGCCTTCTTATAGTAATTTTCTTAATCTTGATGTTAATCCTTGCCTAGTGTGATTTCTCTCTAGTTTTCTACAAAAACAGATGAGAGCTTTTGTCAACCACACAGTCCATGAACTCATCGTATTATCAACTGGGTACCAATCATTACCTTCCATCATCACATCTGCCAAATCAGCTGCTGAAAACCAGCAGCTTTTTCCTCCTTTAGAATGTCACCTCCATCCAGCAGGATGTAGTTACAAAAGAGAACCTCAACAACCCCAATCAAATAACAGAAGTCTGGAATGTTAGGCCCACAGAGCTGCTCACCCTCTCTTTTCCAAAATAGCCACAGAAACGATCAAACCACAGGAAGCATCAACTATAACTCTCTTTATCTCTGTTAGGGCAAAACTATTTCAGTTTCCTTTCCGAGGAATTACTACGTCCCCCCACATGCGTTCTTATCTTGAAACAAGCAGCTGCCTATAATCCCCCTCCCCAATTTCCTTGTAAGACATTATAAAACTCCATTCTAACTTTATATTTTTATTAATTTTAATAACATTTACAGAGACTTAGGGTTTCCATCCATTTATTGTTGCGTTTTTCTCACTGTCCGACTCCTCCCCCTTCCACTCTAACTTTAAGTGAATACTGGTTTCTGCTTTAGAGTCATCTCAGCAGTTTCTCCTCAATAAACTTTCTTTCTTGGCTTGAATTGGGTTTTATCCTTCCTTGGCAGCATTTCAGGACCCTCCTGCATTCCTGAGGGAGTTCAGGAGGTCTGGTTTTGTGGCAGACACTTCACCATGTTCAAATACATAGGACTGAACCAGGGTGGGTTTGAGAAGTTTGTATAGATAAATCTACAACACTGCACCTGCTGATAAAATGCAGCTAACTAATGAGCAGTGGGTGCCACAGATTCATCTGATGTCAATTTTCATCTGATGAGAGCCAAGTCTAGGACTAGGTTGCCTAGGAGGGCTTGCCAAGGTAGGAAAATGGATTCAGACAACTGAGACCAGCCAGGAGCATCAGAGACTTAGCGTGGAGGAAACATTTTACAGTGGTCAGGCATGCAGGATGTAATATTTTAAAATTAACACTTTGGAAAGAGAAAGATGCATAGTAGAGGATGTCTCCAGAAGTGGAACCTAGTGGTAGAGTGGGATGGAAGTGACTTCCAGTTTGAGATTATGCCGGGAGAGACCAGGGGAGCTAACTCTTTGAGAGAGGTTTGGGCCTGGATGGATATGGCAACTTCTGGTACCTGTAGAAAAGCCAATACACACTTTCCTCTTAAGACCTAATTAGAGGAAAAGTTTCTAGGTAAAATGATAGTATTTTCAGTGTTAGGAGATGGACAGAACTTTCTCTCGGGTTCTGTCTGAAGCCGAACAGTTTCAACTAGGTTTGGGGACACTTGGCTCCAGTTCTCAGGAAATTCTGTAATAATTAGGAAAAAAAAAAAGGAAACATTTGAGTTGGAACAGTCTCATAGTTGACCTTTAATTGGGTTTCTGAGGTTATAAATCACACAAGAGGAGATTGCCCATCTTTCTACTATGGGACAAGAACCTAGGATGTCAAGCCTCCAAGTGTGTATCAGCTGAGTAGGCACTTGCTCTGCCTTCTTTTACATCTAGCTCTCTAAACCCGTGTATTTCTAACAATAACAAGAACCAACTAAAACAAAGAATAATGAACATTTAATACCAATTATAAGTCTAATATGACTCTAAAGTTGTGCTCTAAAGGACAAGAGATTTCTCTTTGTCTTATTGCCTGTTACTCTCTGATCCATTCACCATCAACCACTGAATGTTCATTGCTGTGCTCAAATCTTGTCTCTGCCAAATCTGTGAGCAAAAGAGAAAATACATATTTTCAACTCAGCAAGAAACCGTATCTAAGGATATCATTAAGGATGGTGAAGTCTCACCTATCTTATTTTGGGCATATTCTCAGGAGAAATCAGTTTACAGAAAGACATCATGCTGGGAAAGATAGAAGGTCATCAAAAAGGTGAACTCCCTCAGCCAATGGACTGAAGAGTCGACTACCACAATGCGTTTGAACATGACAATGAGATAATGAGAAGAGTACAGGATAGAGGAGTATGGTTCAGATACGTGTTAAGGATGCTATGAATCATGGTCTTCCTGTTTGAAGCCATCAAATTCTGGAAGGTAGGTAGTTTTTACTCAATTAACAATCAAATGTAAGTTGTTTGATTGTTTTGATTTAATTAACAATCAGTTGGTGTGAAGACTATTTTCCAGGAAATTTGGAGGACAGCTTTCTGGCTAATGGATTGAAAGAGGCCCCTATTTGTTCCCATTCCCAAGAAAGGTGAGCCAAAAGAATGTGGAAGCTATCAAACAATATCATTATTAGCACATGCAAGCAAAATATTGCAGAAAAATCATTAAGAAAAGGCTAGAACATTACATAGAAAGAATTGTCAGAAGTTCAAGCAGGATTTAGAAGAGGCCGTGGCACCAGGGATATCACTGCTGATGTCAGATGGTTCCTGGCTGAAAGTAAAGAATACCAGAAGCAAAAGAAAAACTCTTTCATTGTTATGCAATCTCTCACCCCCACCCCGACCAAGTCCACTCTACTGTGAAGCCTTCATTCTGGACTCCTGTCATGACAATAATACCCAATCATATATCCCTTTTAAACAGGTCTCTCCCTCATCTGTTTCAATGCAGTGTACATCACTCCTCCCCTCCTTCTCTGTCTTTCCTCAATCCCAATGTCAGTCCCATTTTACAACAGTAGCCCTATGCAGTATTTGTCCTTTTGTGACTGAGATATTTCACTCAGCATAATGTCCTCCAGGGTCATCCATTTTGAATAATATTGCATGAGTTCTTTGTTTTTCAATGCTGCATAGTATTCCACTGTGTGAATATACCAGAGCTTCTCTATCCATTCATTTGTTGATGGGCACTTGGGTTGTTTCCAGCTCTTTACTATTGTGAACAGTCTCAGTAAACATGGGTGTGCATATATCTGCTTGGGTGGTAGTTATGGTCTCTTTGGGGTATATCCCCAGTAGTGGAATTGCAGGGTCAAATGGTATTTCTACTTGCAACTTTTTGAGAAAGCGCCATACCGCCTTCCACAGTGGTTGCACCATTTTACACTCCCACCAACAGTGAATAAGGGTTCCAGTTTCTCCACAACCTCGCCAGCATTTGATGTTTGGTGTTCTGTTCAATTTTGCTATTCTTACTGGGGTGAGATGATATCTCTTAGTTGTTTTGATTTGCATCTCTCTTAGAGGTTTTCTTTTACTTTTTAAGGAGATAAATGAATTGGGGGGAAGGGGTGGACAGGGAGAAAAGTGCAACAATGAATGATTGGAAACCCTAAGTCTCTGTAAAATTTCATTACAATTAATTTAAAAAAATGCTGGAAAAAAAAGAATGATGAGGCTTTGCCTTACATACTTTGAGCATGTTGTTAGGAGGGGCTATTCCTTGGAGAAGGACATGATTCTGGGAATGGTGAAGGGTAGGCAAAGGAGAGGAAGAGCTTTGACCAGATGGATTGACATGATGACATCCGCAATGGGCTCTAGCATGTCAGGAAGTGTGAGGATAGCACAGGATAGAACAGAGTTCAGATATTTTGTTCAGAGTGTCCCTATGGGTCATACTCGACTCAAAGGCACCTAACAACAACAGAGAGTACAGAGAACTGCCTTGTTTTCCAAGACTGGGAAAACAACAAATAAAAGGAGAGAATACAAAAGACAAGGAAGCAATTTAAATAGCTCTATTTCTTTAATGATATTTTTTAAAGGAGCGGTGTCTTTTGGGTCTAGGTGGTCAGTTTGGTTTTTTTTTTCTTTTTAACTAATGTTTTATCCCCCCTTCAGTGAAAAACCTCAGTTTGAAAACAATTCAATAACAGAGGTGGTAGAGGAAGCTCCTCTAAAAATCTCAGAACATAAACTGGTCTCCACAGAGAATCCATTAAGAGAACCGAAAGATACGGTGTCACATGTCTCTTTAAAATAATTTAAAATATATTAAATCTTCTAAGGCAAATCTTGCTGTAATGAAGCATCTTGGCTGGCCCCACCGAAGAGGAACAGCGCCCATGAGGAGCTCTTTACTTGTTGAATGGGGGGATAGGAGTTTAAACTGGTCAGTCCAAATGAGTTAAGCAGCACAGACAGATCTCACCGACGTGATGACAACACCAAAATCTCCACATGATTCAAGAGACAACTCCAAACAGTTTGAAGCAAGGACTATGGTTTTTAGATAATTGAAAAGAAAAAAAACCCAAAAACAACCACCACAATTGTACCTTAACAGCAGCTGAGAAAAATAACAAATAAATTAGGATGCAAATCGGAGGCCCACAGCTGCAAAGCCAGTGGCTGTTGCCAGCAGGGATCAATCTTTGGAGAAGGATATCATGCTTGGAAGAGTGGAGGATCAACACAGGAAAGGAAGACCTTGGATGCTATGATGGATTGGCACAGTGATCATGCGGTAATGGGAGCAGCTGTATCAGAGATAGTGAGATTGTCTCAGGATTGGGCAGGGTTTAGAGCTATTATTCATAGGGTCGCTATGAGTCAGAGTCAGCTTGATGGCACATACAATAGCAACCACCAAAGGCAATCTACAGCCTTAATACAACCCCAATAAGGATACTAATGCCGTTCTCTAACAAGATGGAAAAGCTAATTTTCAATTTAGTCTGAAACATAGAAGAATTAACCCTATTTCTCTATTTTAGTAAAGAAAATATAAAAAAGGAAAGAAGAAAAACAATAACAATTATAGCAGGTAACTATAAGATTATATATTTAGAAACAAATACATCTAGAGACATAAAAAATTATAAATAATGCTGCTTGCTACGAACATTGATGCACAAGTCCCCATTTTGCCTCAGTTCTCATTTTCTCAGGATATGTTCCAAGCAGGGGAATACCTGGATCATAAGGAATTTTTATATTCAGCTTTTTGAGGAAGCGCCAAGTTGCCTTCCGGAATGGTGGTACCGTTTTACAATTGCACCAACAATGTATAAGAGTTCCTTTCTCACGAGATCTTCTCCAATATTTATTACCTGTTACAGAAGTGAGATGGTATCTCATTGTGTTTTTTATTTGCATCTCTCTTATTGTCAGTGATTTTGAGCATTCCTTCATGTGTCTGTTGCCCATTCAAATATGTTCCTCTGTGAAAATGCTTTCCATGTCTTTCGCCCATTTTATGATTGGGTCATCAGTCTTTTTCTTGGAGGCCCAGGAGTATTCTGTAAAATTTAGCTATGAGACTCTTGTCTGAGATGGTATTACCAAATGTTTCTTACCAATTGGTAGGATTTCTTTTCATCTTGTTAGAAAAAAAGTTTTGTTTTTTTTAATTGTATTATTTTTACGTGTACCGTCAAATCAGATCTGACTGGTACAAGAGGAGATTGCCCCCTCCTTCTCCAGCAGAGCATCTGGTGGATTTGAACCGCATACTTCTGGGATTGCAGTGCAGCGTCTTGCCACTAGGCCACCAGAGCTCCCTTAGAAAAAAGTTTTGATTCACACATGGATTTAATCTTTAGAAGGTCTTATTCATCAATTTTATCCTCTTCAGATTGTGCATTTCTAGCTGTATTTGGCAGTCTCTCTATACCTTGAACTAGTGCTTCTAAGCTTGATCCCACTTTGTCTCTTATTAACTTTATGGTTTTGGGTTTTACTCCCAGGTCTGTGATCCACCTTGAGTTGATTTTCGGGTATGGTGTGAGAGGTGGATCCTGTTTCAGTTTTCTGCAGGTGGAAGTCCAGTTTTGCCAGCACCATTTGTTGAAGAGGTTGTCATTTCCCTATTTGATAGCTTTGATTTTCTTGGATTATCAGTTGACCATAAATAGCTGCTTCTATCTCTGGGTTCTCAATTCTATTCAATTCTAACTCTCTATGTGCCTGTCCCTGTATCAGTACCATGTTGTTTTGGTTACTACTGCTTTGAGGTCAGGGAGCACTATGCCTCCCACTTAATTTTTGTTTCTCAGTCAGTGTTTTGCTTATTCAAGGTTTCTTGCCTCTCCAAATAAATGTGATAATTTCCTTTTCAATCTTCTTGAAAAATATGCTATACCTAACAACATTATTCACCATCACAAGAACATGAGAAGAGCCCAGATGTCCAACTACAAATGAATGGATTGAGAATTTATGGTACATTCACACAATGGAATACTACACAGCACACAGGAGCAATGATTTTGCAAATTATTACCTAACTTGGGAGGGACTGGAAAGCATTATGCTGAGTGAACTAACTCAGTTCCACAAGGACAAATATTGCATAAAACCATTATTGTAGAATGAGTATAAGTATCCAAAGGAGGGGAGGAGGGTGGAAGCAGAGGGATGAGAATGTGCAGGGAGAGAGGTGATTAATCATGGAATTGTACAATATGATGGGTGGGGAGGTGAGGGAAATTGGAAGAATCTGTTCTGGAAAACAATGTATTCAAATTTTGTAAATAAACTAGCAGAATAAAAAAAGGAAAAAAACATAAAGAAAATTATAAATCATTGTTGTTGTTAAGTGCCATCGAGTCATAGATGACTCATAGTGACTCTATGAATGAAAGACCTGAAC